TTTTTTCTTGTAATATTTAGAATAATTGGCCAATATAGGAATCATAATTTCCATTTTATAGGTTAAGAAACTGAGGCTTGTAGAACTTAAAGTAAATTGTTCAAGATTTCACAGCTAGACAGTAGCATCTAGGTCAGCTGGATACAATCAGTTTGTGTAAATGTGATTCTACTGGGAATACTGGGCTTGATAATTTCTAAAATCCCTTCCAGTCTTGTTATAGGAGGCTGTTTGTGACAACTGCTTGTCTTCTCTCTCCTAAAACATGGAGAGAGAATTTCTGCTTGGGCAGGGGAAATGGGTAAGTTCTAGTGTTCCCTTGCACGACAAGGTGACTGTGGTTAAAAATAATACTTTATATATTTCAAAATAGCTAGAAGAGAAGATTTTGAATATTCTTACAACAAAGAAATAATATCTGAGGTGATGAACATGCTAATTACCCTAATTTGATTACTGCATATTGTATACATGTACTGAAACATCACACTGTGCACGCCATAAATTTGTGCAATTATTATGTGTCAACTAAAAATAAATACATAAATTAAAAAAAAGAACTTCCAAAAATCCCTGAGCAACTATGAAGACATATTTACTGACTTAAACCAAACTGACTCATTCACGTGTTCTTTTAACAAATATTGATATCAACAAATGTGGATAGCATCCTGGGTTCCCACTGTGGGCAAACGCCCTGTGCCTTTCTGGTGCACCGGGTGGACTCTGAAATGAATAAAGCAATGTCCGTGGCCTTAAGAAGCCCAGTGCCTGATGCATCCTTTACTTTTGTCTCTTCTTTTTCTAATAAATCCAATTATGTCTTTGTTGCAAATGGGACAATAAGCTTCCTTCAGCTGTCCTTTAAGATCTTCCCCTAGGCAAGATTTTTATGTAATTCATCTTGACGCCTCTGTGCAGGAAGCTGTGTGTAAAGTGATGAGGTGATAAGAAGTTCATTCTCCAGAGTTTATTTCCTCCATCCAGTGAAACTTCCATAACCCTGCATTTTAACAAATGCCAAAGCAAAGAGGACTAGATCTGAGGGGTCTTGTTTCATTGCTGCCTGCATCTCAGCAAAGCGTCGTGCATGGCTTTGTCAATGCAAATTAGAAATGATGTATTAGATCAAAAGCCATTGAAAGGACTGTGCCCTTTGAGCAAAAACTTATGGGGGCACAACAGTTAAATTTGAAAAATGTAATAAACACTTATTGAGTGCCTATTGCAATCAAGGCATGGTATTAGACACTGGGAATTCAAAAAGGAATAAGAGATGGTTCAGGCCCAAAAGACGTTGTGGTCTAAAATGTGAAGCAGCGTGAAAACACCAATAGTAACACACTGTGGAAAGTGCTTTGCCAGCAGCGTGACCACGCATAATGAGAGTACAGAGGCAGGGACGAGTGCATCCTGTGGGGAGGAGGCACCTCTGGAGCAGCTGTACAGGACAGGTGAATTTGAACTGGACCTTGAAGGATGGAGAGGATTTCACATGATAGAAAATGGAATGGGAAGAACATTCTGGGAAGACAGATAGCATGAATGCAAAGGTGTAAAGGAGCAAGGTTTCAGGAAAATTAATTCCATGGGTTGTATTAGAGAATCATGCAACTAATCTGAAGGAGAACTAGTAACACAGGCAGGCAGAGAACTTTCGAATGTGCTGCTCTCCTGCTTTCTCTACCAGGCTCCTGATGGTACAATAGGCAAATATAAATATACATTTGCTCGAGAGATTGCTGGATCCTCCTCTTTTTGTTGCCTCAACCATTTCTGTTAGTCGGCTCATGCTGTGTCTGGCCTCCATCTTCCATTCCATTGAAAGGAATCACCCCATTGCCTTGTATGGTTTAGATAACTTTCTACTTTAAAGTTTAAAGTTGAACCTTCTGGAGGTGCTACAAACCATTTGACATCGAAGAGAATGAGTTGTAATGGGCATGCTGCCAGTACGGATCTGGACATCGCATCTTGGGCACGAGCAGTGACAATTAGCTTTGTACCCCATGAATATTCATAACCAATTAAAATTGGTTTTTATCCCCCTGGACAACATCAGGAGCCTCTCCTCTGTCCCTTTATACCTTGAGTGGAGAGTGGGGTGTGGGACAAAGAAGTGGAGAACAAGAAGGTACAGCAGTATTATGGCTTTGTGAAAGCTTTGTGAAAACCTTATTCTTTCACTGGGTCTGGACCCAGAAATTGCATGTTTTCTATAACTTGGGAGGATACTAAACCCAATGCAATTACTAAGCTTCTGCCAAACAACAAATAGTTGTGTGTGTGTGTTTGTTTGTGTGTGTGTGTGTGTGTGTGTGTGTGTGCTGGTGTTTAATATTTTCCCAGGAATTTAGAAGGCTCATAGCTTGAAAAGTGTCCCTTGAATGAATCCTGGGTATAAGGAGTTCATAGGCGTAGTATGGCAGAGTCAGGGGACAAAACTACATTGCAAAGATTCACATGTCCTGCTGAGAAATCTCTATTTTATTCTATAGTCCACAAGGAGCTCAGAATGGATTTTAAGCTTCTAAAGAATCTATCTAATAAATTGTGGTAGGGAATAGTATAGGATGGATTGTAATTAATAGAGAAAAGCTGAAGATTTAAAGATAAGGTAGGAGGCCTGCCCAATAGACTTAGCTCCATACAAGAGGTTGGACAACACTGTATAGTATTATGTGGAGGTGAGGAAGAGACAGAAATCAGAGATGGTGCCAAGATTTTCACATTGGAATAATCTATTAACTAAGAAAAAAACTGCAGAAAAATGATGGGGGAAAGGCATCCAATTCGGTTTTAGGCTTCTCAAGCTTCCAGTGTGGCAGGGGTGCTTAGGTGAGAAATTCAGTGAGTAATTACTGATGTGAGGCTGAGGTTCAGAAGACAGATGGGGTCTGGAGATGCTCACTTAGATGATTCCTCCTGGAAGATGAACTTACAGGAGGGAAGGAGACCATTTGAGCAGAATATAAAAAGTAAAGACAAAAGATACAGAGACTAAAATTTAGAGACTACCATGTTTGAGGACCTGTGGATGCAGAGAAATAAGAATATTGATTAGGAACTGTTGGGGATGTGAATAGGAG